TAAACATGTGATAAAAATATACTTACAATTAATTCAATAACACATAGTATCACATATAAAATACTTATAAATTTTACATATTAAACAAAGTAAAGAAATTTACCAAGCAAAAAGAAAAATAAATTTTACTGTGCATTAACATTGATACAGCTAAAATATACGAACTTATAAAATGTAGTATTTTGTATTGTATTACAGAGTGATAGAGTTGATTTTACTACATAAATAAAATGTCTTACAATTTTTAACTCAAGTTTTCATTGAAGAATACCGTTGTTTGACATTACCTTTACGTATATAATATAATTATAATTAACTAGAGTTAGAGGACTACGTAGCTTAGATATCATATTTCACGGCAATGTGTAAGATATTATAGTAAACATAAATATATATAAAATAATTTCTTTTTTTATATATACAATTCCAGTATCATGAATTTTAAATATCAAAATATAGATATTGATAATTTATATTCTCGTTATTTTTGTTTGTACTTTGAATTGTAAAACTGAGGTATTTTATTATACACTGTTCCAATTCTGTTTCTTTCTTATTTTATTTTTTTATAACAATAGACATGCCAATAATTTAATGTAAGCAAAGTACGCTAAACAAAGTTGTGCAATGAAATTATTACTTATTTAAGCTTTCGTACGATTGGAACATCATTATCATTATTTATCAATGAACAAGTTTGCATAAACAGAATGAAATCTATTTTTCAAACAAGATATTTTCATCGTGACATCACTGAATCCGTCGAAGAAGTAAATTACAAGATGATTTACATATCAAAAAGAATGGGCCTTCTTGTCCTGGCAAATATGTCGATGGGATAATATGATATATTCCAGCTGGCACTTTTTCTAATTCTAGATAAGCAAATCCTGGCCTAAAATATAAGATATTTTAATACTTCTCGAAAATAACAAAAAAAACTTAAGATGAATTAATTTTTTGTTAATTATACTAACCGAAATGAACCAGAATTTTTTGACTTAAATATCTCTGCGTTTGAATTATTAACAGTAACTGTAACAATGTCAAAACCTATTTGATATTCCTTAGGTCCTTTTAAAATAATCAATACATAATTATTATCGTTAGTACTTTCCAGATCAAGTTGATAATGCGGATTATTGGGATAAGTTGTGTGATTGGAACATCCCCCTGCTGAAATCCCTTTCCATTGACCATCTGTAATCTGAAATATTTATTTTTCTATGACATTACATATATATATTGTATACAGGTAAAATTATAATTGCGCTATATGAAAATAATTCTAGTAAAATAACTTATAATTTACCTCTTTTTCACATTTGTATAACTGAGGTATTTGCCATAATTTGAAAGGACATGTTGCATATGCACGTAAAGTGTAATATATCGTTTGCGTTTTTTCATATTGTGATATAACTAAAGTATATCGCGTATCACTGTCATTTTCTAATTTTATTTTACAAAGATAATGTGGACTATTTATTCTTATTCCATGAATATATGGCGGTGGATCATCTAACAAAATTTACAATATATTAATATATATATCATAACATGTATATATTTTGTATATTTACTAATTATCTCATTCACCTGGATAATACACTCTTTTACCGTTATTCCGGTACACTAATACTGTAATATATTCTTTATTTTCTCGAAAATCAGCTATATCAGTAATATGTCTTGTCAGGAGAATCCATACTGCTCCTGTCGTATTACTTTGCACTTCAAGTAAAAATTGTGGATTATCGCCAATATTATATACGTCTTTTACTGGGCCTATTCCGGCATTCCACATCCTATAGAAAAAAAATTATTATAAAATATTATTTTATTATGTCTTATAAACAGTGCTTTTTCTGTAAAAATGCTTATAATCCCATGGTTTAGATTAAACTCACTGATGAATACAATAAGTATAATTAAATAAACCAGGGTTCCAGTTTATAAGAAAGACAACAAAAAATTGACATATGCTGTCATAGTCAATCCAAAATACTCCGTTATCCAATTGTGATGCAGAGTCTGGATCGTAATTCAATATTTCTTTTAACTCGCGAGTCCAATGATTTGTATCCAGTTCAGAGTAATTCCCTTTCCATCTCAAATACGACCATGGATTTTTCAATTGAAAAAGTCTAACTCCCTAAACAAGATGATTATTAATACAACAATATATAATATTCATTTTAAATTATAAAAGATCTTTATATTTATCTAAGTTACATATTAACACTTGCGTAAATAAAATAAAGATAGACTTACATTTATTTCTCTAACATCTAATACTGCATAAGCATGAGTAGGCACAAGACCTGCTCTCTCCGCTTCAATATCTGACATTTGTCCTGTACCGACTGTGACAAGCATGTCACCCTTATGCAATCTCAATCTTAGAGTTTCAAAGAAACCATCTTTATTAAAATTTGAATCCTCTGATTTGATAGCATACCTTTCAGGTATCCAACCAGTCAAGGCATGTAAATCTATATTCTATAATATATTTTATAAATGAATGTTATATATGCATTTAATAGTATTTATCTTAAACTAAAAAGTATACTGTAATTATTAAATAGATTCATTCGTTTTAAGCAAAAAGAAAAGCACTTACACTACCAGATCCAGGAAAATCATAACCACCCATTACTTTCATATATGCTTTCTCTAATAAAGAAACCCACAGTTCACCACGATTGTTAGAGTATGAGCAAAGTAATTGATTGTGTCGATTTACAGGTAACAAATCATCTATTATTACTTTGCGAGGAATACCATTGATATGTAATTTCACCATATACTTTCCTAATGGAAAATTATAAATTTTTTTTTCATTTCTTTTCATATCGAAATAACGAATGTATAAACATTATCATAAATGATTTTTTACCAAATGGATTGTAAACTGGTTCGTTATTCCTATTTTTTGGATAAATAATAGATGTGATAAGTCTGCGACCAAATCTCTTTTCGTATTGAGCACTGACAGCAAGAGAAGCCACAAATGAACAATCAGATATGACCTGAAATATAATAAAATGAAGATCATAATTATTATAGTTTTATATAAGAAAAATTACAGTTGTACAATAGTATTTATTAATATTATTATTAATATAACTTACAGATTGTTGAATGCTGTAGTAACTAACATAACGTCCCATCAACATCTTAGGTTCAGAAAATAATTCTTCGGGTCGACACCATCTTGCAAAAGATGTTTTTTGTTTAGGAGCTAGTGCCAATAATCCATCTTTATCAGTAAATGGTATAGCATATTGAAATCTCTCTAATAAATCAACATCCATAAAAGGTACAAATTCTTTATCATTTATATGAGAACTATGAAGTAAAACTTTTTTTTCCTCGTCTGTATAAGTAGTACTACCACTTGCTATTTTAAGATGTGCACTATTACCACGGTGCAGTGAGGGTCTTGTTTGATGTCCTAAAAATTTACCTTGTAAATAATGTACATTAAAATGTCCAATAGTTTTATATGAACAATATTATATATTATGATATAATTACTTGCATTTGTAGTAGACGATTGTAACGATGGAAGTGTATCTGAAGGATCATCATTAGGAACAGGTTGTAAATTTTGGAGAGATTTAATAATATCATCTAGATCATCATTTTGTTGTTTGATACCTTTTAAAGATTCAGCTCTTTCAAGAGCAAGTCGGATTAAATTATTTAGCTTCATTTTTATTTCAGAAGTAGTTACTTTCTATATATGAAACAGATACAAATATATTTGGGTACAATTATATTTTGTTAAAAAACATAATCAATTTAAACTTACTATGCTAAGACCCAATTCAGCAGCATCCGTATATAATTTCATAGCAACATCTTTGAGACCTTCTTCATCGGCATCAAGTGCTTGACTCATTAAAAATTCACATCTATGAAGATCAGACTTTTGTTGACTAATAGTATCATCTATTTCATCTTCCACATTAACTACAAGTTTTGCAGTTTAAAATTAACACAATTACTTAATGTTTATACTAGTTAATAATTAGAATATAAATCATTATCTCTATTTGTAAGAATATATTTACTTAATTGTTGAATCGCAGATATTCTTTCTCGATAATCTGCAATTTTCTGATCATATGCAATATTTAATGATAATCCATCAAGAGATTTTACTGCTATCTCATAATAATATAGAGCTTGTTTATATTGTTTATTTCTATCAAATTGTACAGCTCTTTGAGCAGCAATTAATGCATTTTCTGGTATGTTTGCCATTTTATTATTAATTATCTCAATGTTAAATCTCACTAAAATTATTTCATATAAGACCAACAAAGAAGAGAATGAAAATTCTACCCAGTCATTTAATGATTAAAATAATTAATGCTCTTTATAGGTTATATATACATATATATATATATATGTATCCTAGAA